CTTTTGCTGTGCGAAAACGCTTATTGACTTGCCCCGAAGGACTACAAATGCACTGCTTTAGCAATGTTTATTTCTTTTTAATATTGTTTATTATGCATTCGCTTTATGCGAATGCATTTTATTTAGCAAATTCAACTTTATAATTTTGCAAGAATTATTATATATATATATATATATATATATATATATATATATATATATATATATATATATATATATATATATATATATATATATATATATATATATATATATATATATATATATATATATATATATATATATATATATACACACAAATAGAATTGCAATGTTCTTAAAGATCAGAGCAATCAGGGTTGCGTAGTCATAGAGTTGGAGTTGCAACATTGAAAGTGGCGTCAGAGTTGCTAAACAAAATCGCAATTCTGACTCAAATAGTAAAACTTCTCTGTATTGCATGTGCATGTTCAATTTATTTAACCTTTAAACAAATTTTCATATATTTTGCAAAAAAGATTTTTTTTAATCATTGCATAATATTTTTTAAAGAATTCAAAAAAATATTCAAAAAATTTGCTTTGCAGTCGGAATTGGAGTCTGAAATTTTTAGAGAAAACTTAGAGAACAACACTCAGGTGTGTGGAGTTGGAAAAAAAAAGGTACTTTTTTTTTCTAACTCCACATGCCTAAGTAATAAATTTGCAACAACACTTATCTAATTCTCTTTGACAGCTTGATATATGTATATGTATGTATATATATATATATATATATATATATATATATATATATATATATATATATATATATATATATATATATATTTATATGTATATATATATATGTATATATATATATACATATATATATGTATATATATATACATATATATATATATATATATATATATATATATATATATATACATATATATATATATATATATATATATACATATATATATATATATATATATATATATATATATATATATATATATATATATATATATATATATATGTATGTATATACATGTATATATATATATATATATATATATATATATATATATATATATATATATATATATATATATATATATATATATATAGATATATATATAGATATATATATAGATATAGATATATATATATATATAAAGTAGCGATTCTTTACAGTTTTTAGCGTTAGACAAGTAAAGTTCATTTTCTTGAACTTTACTTGTTTATATATTTTTTTAAGGTTAAGCATGAAATTTGAAATTTTTTGCATTATTAAGTTTAAATCTACCTCTTTTTAACCATATATAACAAGTACTATTTACTATTTTATGTACTGTTTATATTGCTTCACTTATATATTTTACTTTTCAGAGTTTCAAAAAAAAGTTATATTCCAATTTGCTGAAATTAACAACATTTTAGTAGATATAACTGCACAGTTCTCTAATGATCCAGAAGAAGGTTTTACACAACGTAAAATTTCAGATGAACTTAATGTTTTGAAAAGAAAAATTGCAAATATAGATATCCAATACATCGCTTTTGTATTAGTCAGTTTTATCTTTATAGTTTATAAGTTATATATTGTTACAATAATTCTTTTAAATTGTCATAAACATTTTCAATGTTTCTTTCACATTGTTTCTTTTTAGGTAAAACAGTTATCATTAATTAGCGGTAAAAAATCGTGTAGATACAATTAAATATATTTTGCTCTTGTAAGTAATTAGCAAAAGTTTGAATTTTAACATTTATGATTGACCGTACATTATTTATCATCTTTTTTATATATGTAGACTACCAACAGACACTATTTTGTCCGAATACAGCATGAATGGTCTAAAGAAGAAAAAAAAGTTTAAAGAATTGACAAGTCTATGTAATGCTGGTATTCTTATTTGCTTATTAATGTGTTTGAATAACTTTTAAAATTAAAAATGATGTTTTAATAAAATATATATATTTTTTTATTCTTTGGCTATGGAACCTGACATGTATTCAAGTATATTTTATTTTATGATCTTATTGAAATATGTCTTGTTGTTTTTATTAGAAACTGCTTTAAAGTCAAATAAAAACAAAATGGATGCCATCCATCTAACTTATTGGGAGAGTAATTAGGAATTCTTCTGACCGATTAAAGAAAACATCCACTAATATGAATATCGATCAATGATCGGCTTAATTAGCTGTTGTATTTTTTATTTATTTTCCATTTTTCAGCAATTTTCTTCTATTTATAATGCACTATCGATTATATTCTACAGTACCTAATAGTTTTTAATTTGGAAAGGGTAATTTTATTTGAAAAATTATTCTTATTTTTTGTAAAGTAATTAATTTATTTTAAATATATCAAATTACACTTTATTTATTTAGATTTCTTTTTATAACTTCCTTTGCCTAAATTAAGGAAAATCTAAGGTGTGTGTTGTAATTTATTGCGTTTTTATATAACTTTTAAAAGAATGTCTTGGTAATATTCAGACGTCTCTAGGTTGTCTGAATAAGACGTCCTTAAGTCATTCATATGACACCAGTCAGAGACATCTCTAAAACATCTGCAAAAAATGTCTTTAGAACGTTTATATATATATATATATATATATATATATATATATATATATATATATATATATATATATATATATATGCTAAGATTTGTAATATCTATATATAATATATGTATATATATCTATATTATAATATATGTATATATATATATATATATATATATATATATATATATATATAGTATATATATATATATATATATATATATATATATATATATATATATATATATATATATGCTAAGATTTGTAATATCTTTGCTGTAGAAATAGGTAAATGAATAAATAAATTGTATATATTTTGTTGTTCCTGTGTTGTTTCGTTCAATTTTATGATCTTTCCATCTCTGGTTGTATAAATAATTATTAAGATTATTTCTTATGTTGACACCTAGTTACTGTGTGGTTTAATTTAATTTGATGTATTATTATTTATATATACATGATTTATACATTAATGTTTATATAATGCATACATATTCATTATATATATATATATATATATATATATATATATATATATATATATATATATCAATATATATATCAATATATATATATATATATATATATATATATATATATATATATATATATACATATATATTCTTATAAGGTTAAGCATTATTCAGTTTAAATCTACCTCTTCTCAACCATATATAGGAATTACTATTTACTACTTTATATACTATTTATATGGCTTTACTTATATATTTTATTTTTCAAAGTTTCAGAAAAAATTTATATTCTAACTTGCTAAAATGAAAAAAAATTTAGTAGATAGAACTGCACTGTTCTCTAATAATCCAGAAGAAGGTTTTAAACAACGTAAAAGTTCAGATAAACTTAATGTTTTGAAGAAAAAAATTTGCAAATAGAGATATCCAATACATCACTTTTGTATACATGAGTTTCATCTTTAAAGTTTGTATGATATATATTATTACAATATTTATTTTAAATTGTCATAAACATTTTCAATGTTTCTTATACATTGTTTCTTTTTAGATAAAACAGTTATCATTAATTGGCGATAAAAATCTAGCTGATACAATTAAAAATATTTTGCTCTTGTAAGTAATTAGCAAAAGTTTGAGTTTTAACATTTATGATTGACAGTAGAGCATTTATCTTCTTTTTTATATCTGTAGACTGCCAACAGACACTATTTTGTCAGAATACAGCATGAATTGTCTAAAGAAGAAAAAAAAGTTTAAAGAGTTGACAAGTCTATGTAACACTGTCACTGGTATTCTTATTAGCTTATTAATGTGTTTGATTAATTAAAAATTAAAAATGATGTTTTAAAAAAAAAAAAAAAAAATTTTTTTGGCTCTGGAACATGACATGTATTCAAGTATGACATATATATTTTATTTTATGATTTTATTGAAACATGTTTTGTTGTTTTTATTAGAAGCTGCTTTAAAGTCAAATAAAAACTTAACCAAAATGGATGCTATCCAACTTATTGGGAGAGTAGTTAGGCATTCTTCTGACCGAATAAAGAAAACATCGACTAATATGGATTTCGATCAATGTTGGCTTAATTAACTGTTGTATTTTTTTTCCATTTTTAAGCAATTTTCTTCTATTTATAATGCACTATCGATTATATTCTACAGTACCTATTTGTTTTTAATTTGAAAAATGTAACTTTTTTGTTTGAAAAATTATTCTTAATTTTTATAAAGTTATTAATTTATTTTAAATATATATAATTACACTTTATTTACATTGATTTCCTTTTATAACTTCCCTTGCCTAGATTAAGGCAAATCTTAGGTGTGTGTTGTAAATCATTTCATTTTTATATAACTTTTAAAAGAATGTCTTGGTAAAATTCAAACGTCTCTAGGACGTCTGAAAAAGACGTCCTCAAGTCATTCATATGAGACCAGCCAGAGACGTCTCTAGAACGTCTTTAAAAAACGTCTTTAGGACGTCCGGAATGGACGTCCTCAAGCCTTTCATTTGAGACCAACTAAGGATGTCTTACGGACGAGACTTAAGACGTCTAACGGACGTCCTTAGGACGTCAAAATGCCCGCTGGGTTGATTCATAACGATTCGACAATGGTACTTTTCTGCGATTCATATCTAATCGTCAATATGATTCGCTAAATTTCTGCTTCAATTTGTAACGTTATTTTCTTCTTTAGTGCTTGCATCCGTTTTAACTAAATAAAATAGAAACAAACATAAGCACAGCTTAATAATTAATTACATATATACTTATACAATATAGTAACAACATATATACAAAATGGTCACAACTTATAAACAACATAGTTATGTTACAATAACAATTATTTTTATTATTGACGAAAAAGTTCAATCCATTAACAACAAACCATAGTTACATAGACTTGAGACAAAGTTATAAAAAGATCCTTAATCTTTTTATAACTTTGTGAACTAAAATGTAATGAATACCACAATAAAAATTTACAATTACACATAAATGCAGGATACTTAGAATTATATATATTAAAACATGTGGTACTTCAATTATTTTGGACCAAAACTTCATTAAAAATGTCTTGAGATTTCACCTTTCATGATATTTAATTTAATTCACAGCAGATTCTAAATAAAGTATATGACACACAATTTATCATTTTATTATAAATAGATAACTTTAAAATGTTGCCATAGTATAATTAGAACTTAAAGCATCTTAAACATTTTTTAATTTAAAATCTGTTTAGGTGGTTCTCGATGACAAGATCTTATGACCTTCTGCGAGTATCTGTGTTCTTATCGTAGAGTCAACAAAGTTTGTAACTCTTATTGTATGTATTTTTATTCATTGTTTTATTGTAAAAGTTATTTGAATAAACAAAAAATTAAAAATTAAAAAAAAAAATTAAAATGCCTCTCAATCTTCCTAAATATTTTTATACACAGAAACTATTTTATAAAACACAGTAAATCTAGTCATTAGTAATAGTAAAAATAAGGAAAAAAACTTTTCCTTCACTTAAACACTGAAAACAGAAATATCAATAACTTATTTAAGTGTAAACTTACCAGATTTAGATAAACCATTTAACTTGAGATTTGGCATTTTTGTGTCAACATTAAGTTTATTGCCATAGCTTCATTAATATTTGCTACATTTATGTGGTGGCACATTAATTATCACAAACAAGCTCTAATAACAAAACATCAATACTATGAAATCTAATAATTAAAACTATTTTATTTAAAGTTTTTCATATAAAATAACAAAAGAAGAAAAGGCATTAAACCTATAGAATGGAGTTTTATTATAAGTTGCAGAAAGTTTGGAGCACACATACTAAAACGTAATATATAAAAATATATGCTACATACTAAAACAAAAATCAGGTTAGTAGCATCATTATTGACAATTCTTTATAATTTAATGAAAGCGTTTTAAAAATAAAATTATTGAGAAAAAATGAAGTTTGACATTAGGACAAACCAAACACTTATTGAAATTATTAGATAAAAGAAATTTAACGTTAATAGTACATCATTATTTAGACATCACCTTAAATATTGAACCCTATTATGGAGTTTACATATACAAAAACATGTTATTATGATTGAACAACTCCAACATAGAGCAGATATTTCGTGTTTATAGTTTAAAAGATTTATCATTTAAAAACTCACTGATAAACCTTTCTCCCCACATTAAAAATCAGAAGATCAAGAGGTGATGTGATATAACTATACAAAAATATTAATGACTTGGATGTAATAAATTGGCATACTGCTCCAATATTTAGAAAATTCTATTACAAAAGACAACAATAAATGATATATAAACAACAACCCAAAAAATGAAACAGTCAACATTATTTTTTCATAAACAAAATAGCTGACAAATAAAACCATTTATAACTAGAAATTGTGAAAACGATAAATTATAACTTAGATATATTTTTAAAATCTACGATAAATATACACAAAACTGTGAAAAGCTATTAAAGTCTGGCACCTATTTTTGTTAGACTATACACTAATAATGTGTATCACAACTTTGTTGGTTTATTTATTGCATATAAAAGTAAATAAATTTGCAAATTTATTTGAAAAAAATATTAAATAACAATTTAACTCCTAGAAAAAAAAAATAAAGTCAACAAATTATTTTAATTATTTTGTTAAAAACACTTATATGTTCAAACCTAGATATATAGACTTGGTAACTTTTCCTATTTAGTGCTTCATATGCTAGTAATACTTAGTAATATTTTGACTTCAAAAAATTTCCATAACACAATAACATTCTTATACTATATTTATAAAGAAAATGTTATCTTTATATTATTCCTATTAAACTATAAGAATATAAAAGATAAATGTGTTAATAACACTTAATTTATATTACAGAAAAGTTACGAACATGACAACAAAAAGATAAAATAAAGCAAAATTGTTCAAGTAATCTACGCAATAATATACATACATTTTATGTATTTCTTTTTCTATCAAACCAACATTTCTGTCAGTTTTTTTTTATTAATATAAATCATTATTCAGTTACCATAAATTATGTTTTATGTTTCTTTAACTAAGGTTTTAAGTTTCTTTAATCAGTTTTAGCTTGGTAAAAAAAAAAATTCAAACATTAAAACAATTTAATGGTTAATGTTTGATGAAAACAATGTTAATATATCATAGTCTGGACGCTACGTGTAACTTTTTCTTGGAAATGAAGTGGACATTACAAAAACTACTTAAATAGTTTAACATTGATATCTTGAATAAGAAAAACTTTACGTGCCTTTCTGAAAGTGCTTAAAGGGTCACATTTGGGCC